CTCACGAGATGCCCACCGCCGATCTGATCCAAATTTCGCTTCGCATCTTGGTTCATCCCTACAATGATGAAAGAAGGAAATTACTACGACTTGCCATCGACGGACGAAACTGATATCATTTCAGTGAATATTTATTACATTGTTAATTACACTCGAAATATTCATATCGCATTTGCATTGAACTGAATAAATTAATAGCAGAGTATAATAAACATGCAGAGTATACTAAATATATTGGCATTAATTTTATATCGAAATCTAAATTCATTGAAATTACGATACATGCTTCAGCGGTTTCACTCTTCATTTTATGCTTATCGCGATGTCGATATTTACAATTCATGTGATCGTCTATTCCATGTGCTATAAATTGTTGCTTGAAAATTAATATTCTCCAAATTCACCAAATTATTTTAATGCTATTTTTACTTTATCTTTCTGATTTTATTTATAGAAGAAAGGGGGAAAATATGATCTATATAACTAAAGATTCAAGATATTATTCATAATACATTAAATGCATGCAAAGTGTCAAATAATAATCATCTGTGGTGATAATCGATATATTAAAAAAAGATATATAATTTCTTTGGTTTTTTATCACACCATCTATATAAGATAATACACTAATGAGAGAAAAATATTTTGTATTTGTGTCTATAATTGCATAAAAAACTGTAGTTAGGAGCACTATTTTTATAATTATTATTAATATAATGTTAATAATAATAACCTTATATATACCAAGTATGAAAAAAATTTTATTATAAATTATTAATAATAATTTCAAATATTTATATAGTAATTTATCAAGATATGTAAGACAAATGAAATAAATATTGTTATGTAGTGAATGCAATTATAGTAAGCGTAACTATTTTCTTAACATTTGCAAATTAGTTATATTGTAATAATAAGTAAAAAGTAAGTGAACGAAAAAATCATAATCATAATGTATAACCGTAATGCATTGTTAAAGCAATTATAATTTGCATGGTAAAATTAATGATAATTTTATAGTTGTCCCCAAAATTCACTATAAATTATAGTTAAATCCAATTATATTTTTCTCTCGATGTACGTACAAGTATATAAAGTTCATGCGTGTTATCGAAGTCGTCAAAAAACTGCGTGAGACAAACTTCATCGTGCAGTGGAAGCTTAATAAAAGTCGCAGAGGGATTTGCATCCGTGAGTGCAATCAAATCATGCAACGACGTCATGCGTAAACATGTGGCATTAGCGGATTCTCACATCTAAACTGTTATCACGCTTACCTCCGTTGACGTCGACCGCGCGATTTTATAGACAATCCGCGCGCGCGCTCGCGCGCGCAGCGATGTCTGCATGTATGCACCTACGTAAACATCCCGCGCGCGGCAATTTTTCAAGAAAATTTTCCACATTCACGCGCGAAATTTTTCTTTCGCGAAAGTTACAAAGGCAAGCAGACTGCAAATTTCCCAGGTGTATCGTTTAAGTTTGGCTGTTACGCGAACTTTTTTGTTTGGCACGGCGATTATTCCGAGAAAACTGGACACACGCGTGCTCCAAATGAATGATTAATAGCAGCGATATAATATGGAAATACACAATGAATGATAAACGCGTATACGCCAGTACAAGAAAGATATAGGAGTCGAAAGGGTCGAAATGACAACGTGAATAAATGATATGCGTATCTGCGAAAATTATTAAGTTTGGAATTGCGGCGGGTAACCATTATATACACTGTGTATATGTTTCATCAGTACATCGGGCTCGATTATATACCAAATATTAATGAAATATCTACACGAAAAGAACAATTTTGCTGAATCCAGATCTGAAAATAATTTTAGTTCAAAATTATTTTGTGCGAAAGTCAAAATGATTGCTGGAATATCAAAACGTTTTATAGCAATGTTCATCAGTTTTAACATTCCAACAAATTATTTTGATAATTCGAAAAATTATTTTCAGATCTGTTTTTAGCAAAATTTTTAGACCTTTCAACAAAATCGTTTTTTTCGCGTAGATATCGTTTGATAAAACAACTTTATTGTAGATTTGACTTTATGTTATTTAAATTTTTTTTACACGTATCTCCCAGTTAAGTAAGAAAATATATTAGAACATTATATAAACATTACTGTCGCAGCGCGGTAATCTTGGAAAATTGATTAGAATCGAATTCTTAAAAAGCAATCTGTATAAATCGATATTCTGCACATATTTAATTTCCCATCTCTAAAGTAATAATCTTTTGGAAGAGCGCTTGTGTATAAAGTGCCCTTTTCTATTTAAACAATTTCCATTTGTTTGCCAGTGGTTCGATAATTAATAATGTGGGCAGTGCATATAATTATTTAATTAAAACATTCACGCGCGTATTTCTTGTTTACACATTTTTCAAGCTAATTAAACTTGAAGGTTAATCGAATTGTTGCAAAGGGCCAAATTAACTGTTACGTTTTCCAGATAAGCGTGGGTGTTCTGCAAAAGCGAGTTTATGACCTTTGAATCACCGATCGTAATACTCTAATCGAGCCGTAAAACGCAGTCAGAAGGATGCACTATAATAACGTCGTAAACCATGCTTTCTATACGCTTTTTATCTATTAAGACACTATTTCTTGTGCATTCGGGGATCTGTTCTACAGTTCCATTCCCTTATTTAATTTTAATAACTAGTTTTGCAAAGTGATGCATTTTATTGATTGAGTTTTCTATGAAATAATATCCTATTTTTATTTTGTTAATAAATAATATTAGCTATGAACAACAATTTGTAGAGAAAATTTTAATTTTTTAATGTTATAAAAAATTTTAATTCTATTTAATCCTAAAATTCTAGAAAAAAAAATGCTAAATACGTCACTTTATGATACTTTCTTATCTTCTTAACTTTTTTTACAAAGAAAGATATTAATTTTTTCCTTTTCTTAGAAAATATTGTATCAGGTTTAAAAATATGGTTTAAAAATCGTCAAGAAATATCCAGATTATATTTTACCTGTAGTAATATCAGAAACACAATATTCGACACTCAATAGTTTAGCAAAACTTCTTTTTCGCTTTTGAAAAGTTTTATCTCTTTCAATTGTCTTTCCGCAACAATGTAATTACTAAATATTTTCCCTTGACATTAATTTTTCAGTGGCACAATTTAATTTGAATTACTTTCGCGATATAATCAAGCAATTTGGATAATACGTTAATATATAAAACTCATTGACACTTCTATATAAGTAATTCATTGAAGTGTGTATATAGTATAAATACTGCGAGCATGTATGCATATCGGACTAACCTCTTGACATGCAATTCCGATGATAGACCGGATAGCATAGAAGTGATACGTCAAAGGGCAAAGGATTATAGTTTATATGTATATTATAGTAGCCTCGGTGGAGTATCGATCACGCATCGTTTTCTCTTCCGCGATAGTACACAATCTACTATAATTAGGTAACTGGATGTTGCGTATAACACTAGAATATGCGTTTAAAATAAAAGTTAAAGCAAATTGGTTAACGCGATCGATTTGCAAAAAGTTTTCTCAACGACAAATGATCTATAAAAATAGAACGACCTACGTATGCGTGCGCCCACGTATGTGTGTGTGCTTCTAGTCACATCTATTGATCTCTGTCTCGCGATAACACAATAGATTAGACACAATTTATTCGAGTATCAATTTACATCAAGTTCTAATTTGTTTTATTAAAGTGTACATGCGTACGTTATTCAGTCATGCATTCAAAATGCAAATATTTGCAAATACCTTATTATGCATGTACATACTTTTATTCCAAAAAAAACTCTGTTATTATAATTTTACTTGTAAATACGATCTACCTCTTTATTTTTTATATTTCTATTAGAAGGTTTATATTTCTATTAGAAGAAATAAAAACCAGATCGCAAGGGGACCGAAGAAATTTGGTTGTTTTACATAATTTAAAAATTTCCGCGGAAACGCAAAAATGACTCGGTTATCAGGCATAAATGCGATAATTATACCTCATATATATTGTATACGTAATATACACATTTCACATCTCGCTTGGTTTAAAACTCGCTCGTAATAATTTCTGAAGCGTGGGTTTATAATTGGCATTCATATTCATAAAGTTAATATTTACTGGGATTTCTTTCTCAGTCCTTTTTTCCCTTTTCCTAATATAATAAGTGTAAACATAAGTTTCCCTTTTTTTAAACGAAAATACTTACTTCGATCCTCCCAGTATCTTGTCAAGAAATCCGTCAGTCCTCCATATTCATTCTGTTGCGGCGCGTTTGATCCAACCTGTAACCGTAAATAAAGGAAACTTTTTAATTGTAGCCACAGGCTTTTTATACACAGCTTGTTGCCATTCTAACAGACAAAGTTGTAGCCATGGGCATCTTGTTTTCGTTACCAATGAAACACGACTGTGTCATTCACTAATTAATATACACCGCGCATCGTCTGTGCCAACATTTATTAAATATTAAAGAGTAGAGAGTCTGCTCTGATTTAACTTTATTATTGACATTTTTAAAAGAAGTTAGTAGAAATGTCATATAAGATAAAATAATATCAAATAATATTTTCCATTCTTATGAAAAAGGTTACAAGAATTTTAAAAATTACAATTTTTTAAATTCAAATGTAATAATAAAATAAAATTTATTAATAATATATAATATAATTATACGTAATATTTAATAAAAATTACATAAACATTTTTTTCATTTCTCTGTTATTTATAACTAGATTTTTTATTCGATGATTGTTCATTTTCTTAATATTTAATTATCATTCATTTAAAAAAATTATCATAAAAACACAAGACCTTCAGTTTTCTTCATTATTATAAATAATTTTAATAGAATTGTTTACATGAAATGTGTTCTTTGAGATACACGTGTTGCATCATAGAAAAATCTCTCTGTGTTTCTAATTAAATTTACAGAATGCATAGCTTAGCTCTACATTCTATTCGAACGGAGAGAACTTTACGAGTTTGCGTTTTATCTCTAATACAACAAGCTCGACGTATACAGATCCGAATCTAACGCAATAAACTATTTATTCCCGGCGGAAGTTTATTTATTCATTTCGATTCTATCTATCCGACGCGCGACATCGGTACGATCAGACAAGACATTGCAATGTAATCCGCGTACGGCAAGAAGAAGAGAACATAAAAATCAACTTGTGCAAATACAAGTAATGCAAAATGCCTTACGCGTATAAGAACCATATGTTAGGCCCGTTCTCGACGTGGCACGTGCTCGTCGAGATCCTTATCGCCGACAGCTTATCGCGCTCGACACGAGGTTGCGAACGCTGCATTATGTTAATTAAAACTTCGCTCGCCTTACCTGCGGTGTTCGACCTTACATTACGGATCGAATCTATACCGCGCGACGTTCTCTCTTTCGCGCGTCAGGTGCATATAAATTATCGGCACAGATATTCCGATAGCTCCGGCCAAACTGAAAATTATTCATTATGATTCGGTCGTGCGTATTCACCGAATTCTAACTCCTTGGCTTCATTGTTTTCCCACTCTTATAACAAGCAGGGCTGGACAAAATGCATCATTGAAGTATTTGAAATACAAAATACA